CAGTGTACATGGTGTACGACCAGATCGACCTTGGGAGAGAGTCATAAATTTGTACCTCAATCCACTTACGGACCAGCTATGTTATCAGAGCCCTATCTACGTACTCTACGTAGATAACTTTCCGTAAGTGGAGTGCAAACTCGCGAATTCACGGGTTTTCCCCGCCCACTAACGTAAAGTTGCTCAACTTTACGTAGTGCGGAACCTCTCTATTATTTGCACTCTGTGCATGATTGATACAGGGTTGTACGAAACCCAGCTTTGGGTACAACACTCTTGTGATCACTTTGCACTGTTTGCCAGTGTAACCTTTTGAACCATGTCACGTGATGTGAAGTTCTGCCGTCGCAGCACTGCATAGAGGTTGTGCAGGCAGTTGCACACTCTTGGGGTTATGTACTCTTGATATAACGAATAGTTGATTCAAAGTTGTACTTGTTCTGCAATGCATTGCTGCTTTGGAACGAATGGATGAATATTCGGCATATTCGTTTCACAGCTATTTCTAGCACACATGCGCGTGCACGTGCGTGTACACACACACACACACACACACACACACACACACACACACACACACACACACACACACACACACATACACACACACACACGCGCGCGCGTGCACGGGCAGTAAATCTATGCAGGCTTGCCCGAAGGTCGTACCAGGCACGACATGGATTAAGAATGCACTACTCCCATCACTATACAACACTACCGGTATCCAGTGCAACAGCACTCATCTCAACTGATCAATTGGCTGTCTGTTGACGTGCCAGGAGACGTTGTCTAAATAAATGAATAAATAAAATCCCTGGCGATGCTTACGTCCGCTGGTGGCTGGTCCACTGGAAGCTGATTGTGATCCCTCAGCAGCAGCCGCCGACCTGTGCAGCAAGTGTAAGAAAAAAATAGACGACTATTATTGACGGTGTGTGCTATTCTTCTCATTTTCTCCTTTTTCCAGTAGGAGCTGTAGTACAGCCTAAGGAATGTAGTACAGTTGTCACGTTTCCTTCAAACTCTCCAACTCCACTGCAGCGTCTTCTTTCCAGCCGCCATCAACTATAGTAACGGAAACATTTTGCCAGTAGAGTTTCCAAACTAAAACATACCAGTGTCGAAAATGTGACACTTGGCAAACAGAACCACCCTGCTACAAATCCGACTCGATCGAGTCAACTCGAAACACAGGACTGAAATGTCCAGCCAGCCAGAGCCATGAGCAGGAAGGAAGAGCCTTGGCCGTGGACCTGGCATAACGCGAAGTGCGAGCACGCACATGTACATGCGTATGATGTGCATATGCATGAATGCATACAAAATAACAACTGATAATAATCGGTAATAATCGGTCGGCACTCAAAAACATCGGTCGGTCGGGACTTTTCGGTGCGGCCTAATTTATTATTATTCTTGTCGTGCAGCTGAGAGCCGGGTTCGGAGATGGAGGTGGTCACATGCAGTACAGTCGTCCCTCTTTAATCCATCACTTTAAGAGCGAGCACCCTCTATAAACCAGCATAATTTTAAGTCAACAAAAATGTCCTATTCACGACTCACAGCTGCGCCGGCACAGTGTCGTCGGAGGGCGTGCGGCTGGTGGACGCCACCGCCGTGTCCGAGGACGAAGAGCCGCCCGCAGTCGCAGCTGCTTCTTTGCCGCTGCCAGCGGAGGTGGCGGCGGAGGATGACTTGGTGGCGTGCGCTGGTGGTTTACGGCGAGGAAGAGCACGGACCGCACTCGGGTCAGTAGGCAGGTTGGCCAGTTTGTGGAACACATCTCGCCGTCGAATGATCTGGTAGATCAGATTGGAGTTTCCTACAGGGAAAAAACACACAAACGCCAATGTTTATATAGAAAGTATCATAACCATTGAAAGCATGGAAGATAGTGGGGCACAAGCTATGCGTTATTTGATTTTACGATTTTTCAAGTCTTCAATTTTAAATATCCTCCTTGGCACACCAACTGAATTCATACAGCGAGTAACAAGTTTCTAAAAGATACTTAACGAGGTATCCTTGATGAAACACGAAATAAGAGAAGGCGAAACGATTGAGAACGCTTTAGGGGGAAGTGCCGCTACACACTCAAACTAAGACTCATCCACGGCTGATACTCGGAGCAAGCTCTAGAAGAATCAAGCTTGTAGGCAAGCCTGTCAAATTCAGCAGGTTTGCAAGAATATGTCCAAGAACGAAAAAAGAAAAGAAAAAAAACCACTACGCTATGGATTGACGGCACCACACATACGCACACTGTGACACAAGCACATCACGGTGTGTAGCAGTAACTCAATGTAGATGACAGCCTTCCAGCCTTCCAAACACCCCTTTTTTTTTAACACAAGAGAACATAATGCTCTGCTCACCATCAAACTGATACTGGATGATGTTGTTGAAGATTTCCAGCAAGAAAAAGATCAGATGGTGATTGGTGGCATTGGCAAACAAGTACCAGGGTGTGGAGAATGCCTGCAACGAGAACAACAACAACAACGAAAAGGGGGGGGGGGGCAGAGATGATCATTATAATATTAGTGCAAGCCTGCTAAGGTCTTAACCCAAACCATCACGCCTGTACTGTCTTTACTAGGGCTGAAACGATTATACCGAATAATCGAGTACTCGTTTGATAACTCTAACGATCGAGCAATCGTTTAGATTACCGATTACGATTATTTCGCGTTTTTTAAATTTTTAATTTCTTATACGCGCAGTATAAGAAATTAAAAATTTAAAAAAGCAGAGTATATAGTACACAGTACTACACACTGCACGCGCTGCGTCGCAGCCGCTCAGGACGTAGTACGCGCAGTGCATGCAGCGCGAGTTCAAACATCGAGTTCAGTCCTAGGGGGCGTTTGTTTTTGATCTACAGGTTTGGGTAGAAACTACTTCTTTCGGTGGAGGTGTTTGTTTTTGAAAAAAAATTCTACTCAAAAGGGTAGATTCAACTTTCCTCTACCGGCTCTACCAGGAAAAAGTTGGTAGAATCCGGTAAAAGTTGGTAGAGCTACGGGATTTCCAGCAAGATCAAGGATTTGTTCACAACTCCATCCAAAAAAAGGAACATTTCACGTACACATCGTGTAAACTAATAAATCCGGTAGAATAGCGTTACTTGCCTCTACCATCTACCTCTATCGGTAGAGTGACTCTACTCTACTCTACCAGGTAGCTAAAAACGAACGCAGCCCTAGTGTAGTACAACGAAGCTGGAGCATGAAGCTCGAAGGTCAAGGTCGCGTCCGGTCTACATACATATTTGTACATATTTCCACTTTTGGCCATTCCACGTACATATTCCAGGTGCGGCCTCTTAAAGATTATAGTCGAATAATCGATCGTTATGATAAAGAGTAATTGATTGGGCTAAATGGATGATCGTTTCAGCCCTAGCCTTTACTGAGTGACATTATCACAAAATGCATGTCAACATGCCTCACATACGGAGAAGGACAGAGAAAACTGCCTAGCAGAGACTCTGAGTCGCATACAAAGTGATCATGAAAGAGCAACAAGTTGCATAACTATAATAATCTATCCAGATCAACATCGCTGTACTCCAACCTGCATACACCACACAACGTACCTCCATGAGATGACCAAGCTTTGCGCTGGATACCATTGACAGTGACTTCAAGTAGGGGGAAACTGCAGTGGAGAGAGAGAGAGGGAGTGAGAGGGAGAGAGAGAGAGAGAGAGAGAGAGAGAGAGAGAGAGAGAGAGAGAGAGAGAGAGAGAGAGAGAGAGAGAGAGAGAGAGAATGAGAGAGAGAGAGAGAGTGAGAGAGAGAGAGAGAGAGAGAGAGAGAGAGAGAGAGAGAGAGAGAGAAAGTTACATTTATAAAGACAGGTAAGTCTAACAAATGAGGACTGAGACCTCTACAACAGGGTTTTTACGCCTGAAAGCAGGTGCATGATTTAACAAGCAGGTTGTCAGTTTAGATTTTATGCGCAGATGGAGAAAAAAAGCGTAGAATTTTTGTAATGAGATGAAAAGCAGAAATAATCAGAAATAATCAGAAAAGATGAAATGAAAGCCTGCTCACAACCCCGCCCAGCCTTGCGAACTGGGAATGGTGGAGAGAGAGAGAGAGAGAGAGAGAGAGAGAGAGAGAGAGAGAGAGAGAGAGAGAGAGAGAGAGAGTGAGTGAGAGTGAGAGAGATATGATGACCCCAAACAAGGTTGAATTGGCTAGCTGGCCAGGGACTGAGCGTAGACAGCAGGCTGGTAATGTAACTTACCATTGACAACGATGGTAAGTAGGCAGTCAAAGAGAGGAGTTAGTCGCTGATGACCGGTGGTGATCACTTTGTGAAATACCTGAACACACACAACAACAAACAGGACACACAAACATGGCAAATGGACAAGGGAGGCAGGGACACAAGTGCACATTGACAAAGGTATACACGCACGCACACACACACGTACACACGCACGCACACACACACGTACACACACAAACACACATGTACATGAGCATACGTGAACAATAAAGTAATGCTAAAATACACCTCCGGCGTGGGGGGGGGGAGAGGGGGGGAGAGAGAGAGAGAGAGAGAGAGAGAGAGAGAGAGAGAGAGAGAGAGAGAGAGAGAGAGAGAGAGAGAGAGAGAGAGAGAGAGAGAGAGAGAGAGAGAGAGAGAGAGAGAGAGAGAGAGAGAGAGAGAGAGAGAGAGAGAGAGAGAGAGAGAGAGAGAGAGAGAGAGCAGATGAACCCCTGCCGACACACACCGCCGTTTTCAATACATGCTAATACTGTACCAGCAAAGATTTAGTAACATTCCAACAATCAGCTAAAGCCAAAACTGAAGACATGCAGAAAACATAAAATCGTGGAGGGGGGGGGGGGTGATATATGAACATATGAAAAAAACTACGATAGAAAGGGGGGGGGGTGAAATGGCTGGGCGGCACTTACCAGGACAAGAAGGTCGCCATGGTTTCCAGTAAAGACGGGGATATCCATGGGGACGCGTACCTGGTAGGGCTTGTTCAGGCGCACACCTGTGTAACGATACACACACAGCGCACATGCACATACAACGGCATGTGACAGGCGGTCGATTGCAAGTAGAATATACACCACCTTTTTAAAAATGCACCATTACCTGTCTCTGCCTGTCTCCATGTCTCTCCATTTCTCTCTATTTCTCTCTCTCTCTCTCTCTCTCTCTCTCTCTCTCTCTCTCTCTCTCTCTCTCTCTCTCTCTCTCTCTCTCTCTCTCTCTCTCTCTCTTTCTCTCCCTTTCCCCTCTCATTCTCTCTTTCTATCTACTTTTATCTAACATACGCGTCCACATACGTGTACCACATATACAAGGTGACACAGCAAGTATCAAGACTCACCAAAGTTACGTTCGCCACTCAGCAGCAAGAGGATGAACACGCAGATGTGCATCAACCCAACGCGAGCTACAGCAGCCACCGCAAGAACAAGAACAACAAGAACAACACGACAACAAGGATCAACACTGGTACAAAGAGCAGACACAATTATTACACCGGTGCAAGGTCAATGTCTGTGTGATGTGATAGCTCGGACCAAAAGAGAGAAAGAAACATCGACAAGTGCTGTATATGAATGCATGTGAATAGAGAGCAGGGCAAACACCACTCACAGGCATCGGAGCGAGAGTCGTTGAGATGATAGAGAATAGGAACTAGCATGTCAAGCACATCGCTGCTCTTCAACACAAAATAGAGGAATTTCTGCGCAGAAAAAAAACCCACACAAACGAAACAACACAGAATAAGGAACTTCTCTCATCCACATGTATAGTAAAATCTGTGTTTGCTACACCCTGTGTTTGCTGCACTCTGTGTTTGCTACACCCTGTGTTTGCTACACTCTGTGTTTGCTACACTCTGTGTTTGCTACACCCTGTGTTTGCTACACCCTGTGTTTGCTACACCCTGTGTTTGCTACACCCTGTGTTTGCTACACTCTGTGTTTGCTACACTCTGTGTTTGCTACACTCTGTGTTTGCTGCACTCTGTGTTTGCTACACTCTGTGTTTGCTACACTCTGTGTTTGCTGCACTCTGCACCAAGCGGCATCCTGTATTGACCGGACGAATTGTCATGCACCGAAGCGCTGTGGATCGAACGTGGATCCCTGGATGAAGCGGAATCCTGTCGTACCCAGGACAGTTTCCACTGCGCCAAAGGCGTCTGGTTAGTGATTATTATTTGCCATGGCAACCCCCGTAAGTCCACATAACTGGCAGGGCAGGGTTCGGCCTTTTTCTTACGTTTCGTGTTCTTACCTCACGCAAAAACAACAATTGTACATACTAGTAAGGCCACACTTTGTTTTTTCTATGTTTCTCGTCATCGCCCGCATAGGTTTTCAGAAATTTCGGAAGAAAAAAAAAGTTCATACTACGTACATGTACATATGTGTACATGTGTGTACGCTGCACATGCTGCAGCAGCTACTATAGATGCGTCAATCAATAGTCGTAAACGTTTGCACCACAGCATGCAGCAAAGGAGCGCTCCTCGGCCTCGTCCGTTCTCTGCGATGAAGGCTGTCATGACAAAGCTTTCAGTCATTCACTGGCTGAGCTGAGCCTCGTTGGTCCCAGGAACAGTAAGTCGGACGAGTTCCGCGGCAACTGGCGTCTGTGGAACGATGTCGTAGGCAGAAAATCCAAGCAATAGACGTAGGGCAAGGAAAAGATGAGCAGCACGGAGACAAGAGTTTGATAAGCGGACACAAGAACGTTGAAGTAACAAAACCAAAAATTAATGACGAGTGCAGGGATGAATTTATCCGGTATCGCATCGCAGTTTGCGATTCAAAATCGATCGAGTGCGACTCAAAAACCACAGTGACTCGCAGGAAACTGCGATGCATAAACGGCTCTGCATACTAGCTCGCGCAGTCAGTAAAAGTGATGCTGTGACTGTGTCGTACACTCACTACACCTGTACAGACTACAGTAGTGCACAGACCCCGCTTTTTTCTCGGGAAGGTGTGATTTCTAGTACATGTACCGGTGAACTCTGGCTGGCTCCGCGTGCACATACTGACTGTACTGGTGTCCTACTTGAACTACACTTACACTTGAACTACACTTTGCGCGGCTTCGATTCAGTAAGTTCACTAAGTTCATGTACTTTCCGTACTGACAAGCATCATCTTTCCTCCACGATCCCGGCGGAGGTCTTGTTTTTTTTCTTCTTTCTGGTTCACTTACCTCTTTTCGTGATATTATAGCTTTGTGCATGTAGCCAGTCGGTCTTTCTGATCGTGAGGAAATTCTGGAATCACGTTCGGCCTTCTCTCTGACAATTGTCCAAGCTGTAGTTTTTGTCTAGTCTGGTTCTGCCTCCAACATGTCTGTACGACAGAGTACATTTGAGAAGTGGGTGGCAGAGGTCGATGTCGAGAAGAAATGGCTTCGTTCTGAGAAAGCTACAGGTGCAGCGGTGACGCTAATTTTCTGCCAGCTATGCAGACAGCACGAGTCCTCCCTCCGTGGACTGAGAAATTTTAGTCGGTCTTTTGTGGACGGGATTTCGGGGACTGCTCTGAAGAAGGACAACGTGGTGAAACATTCGAAGTCGGATATGCATAGCAAGGCGGTAGGAATGTCGACAAGGAAGTCCAGAACAATTGCGGAGATCTGCAAATCGACACCGATCGGCAAGGCAATGGCTGGCGCAACAAGCGAGGAGAGAAGCAGAGTCGCCAAGTTATTAGACATCTCCTACTTCGTAGCCAGCGAAGAAATTCCTTTTGCCAAGTTCCCAGGCCTCGTGGACCTGGAAAAACGCCATGGCGTCTCGCTCGGTTCAACCTACATCACTCGTCATAAGTGCAGCGACTTCACGGAGGTAATAGCCGATGCAATGCGCGAGCCAGTCATCGATACGTTGAAGTCGGCTGACTGTTTCACACTCCTGATTGACGGCTCGACGGACGCCAGCGTAACTGAAAAGGAGCTGATGTATGTTAGTTTCGTAAACAAGAGTGGCGATGTCGAGGTTCGCTTTCTGGCCTTGAAGGATGTGGACGACGGCACTGCAGAGGGATTGGTAGCCTGCATTGACAGCACCTTGCGTGAACTTGGCGTGGACGAGTGGAAGAAGCAGCTGGTAAGCCTGTGTGTGGATGGTGCAGCTGTCAACCTTGGTGTTCGACGTGGTGTTGTAGCTCGCCTTCGTGCTGACATGCCGTGGCTAGTAGGTGTGCACTGTTTTAATCACCGTTTGGAACTTGCTGCGAAGGATGCCTTTTCCAAAACATACATCGAGGATATCACAACCATGCTGACGAATATTTATTACGTGTACCACAAGAGCCCCAAGAGGCTCCGTGACATGCAAGCGCTGGCAACAGAGCTGGAAGAAAATGTCGTCAAGCCGGAAAAGGCGCATGGTACCCGGTGGTTGCAGCACAAACGCAACGCCATCAAAGCTCTTCTCCGGTCTTATACCGTGATCGTTCAACACCTAGAAGAGCTGGCAGCAGGCAACTCCACTGATTCGGCACGCTTCAGGGGCTACCTAAAGCAGCTCAAGAGCTTCAAGTTTGTGTCTCACCTGTTGCTCTTCGACATGATCTTGACACCGCTAGCTGCACTCTCTCTGAACCTGCAGTGCAGTTCCGCTGACCTCCAGTTTGCTATCTCCAGTCTCACCTCCTGTCGAGCAATGATCGAGCGCCTGAAGACTGATGATCTCCAAGGCCACTCTCAGCTTTCAGAGTTTCTGGTGGCTCTGGAAGCTGACGAGGATGTGTTCTTCAAGGGCATCAAGCTCAGCGGCACGCACCAGGCTACCATAAATGCCTTGCACACTGCAAGAACAAACTACGCTTCATCCGTGGACACCTGCCTACAGCAGAGGTTCAATGATCTCGAGCAGCAAGATGTCTTCAAGGCTGTGAAGATTTTGAGCTGCAGCACATGGCCAGAAGACACTGATGCACTCAAGTCATTCGGCACAGACACGGTGATTGCAGTCTACAAGCACTTCCAGGCCATGCTTCCTGGTGATGTAGAACAGGACAGCATTGTGTCGGAGTGGGATGCCTTCAAGTCCTTCTGGAAGTCCAGCTGCACTCACCTGCCCAGCTCGAAAGTCTGGTCAATTCTGGTATCAAAGTACCGACAGCAGTATCCCAGCTTCTGCCGCTTGGTGGAACTGTTGCTGATCCTACCTGTGAGCAACGCCATTGTGGAGCGAGGATTCAGCACAATGCGCCGCATCAAGACTGACTGGAGGTGCCGCTTGGGTGAATCAACCCTTGACAACCTGATGCGAATCGCCCTCGAAGGCCCAGAGCCCTCCAAATTCGATGTCACACCTGCCCTTGATCGGTTCTTCTCAGTACCACGTCGCCCAAATGTCCAGCCGTACAAGAGGAGGCACATCATCTTGAGCAGTTCCGAATCTGGTGAAGAGTGATCATTTGCTGTTGAACGTTGCTTCCTTTTCATGATTGAATGATCATCACAAAATCCACAATATTGTGCTGCAGAGATTGTGTCTTATAATAATTATACTTACCTTTCGTTTTACTGACTTGAATTGTTCTCATAAAACACACGTCATGTCTCATATCATATTATCATACGGATTACCACCAGAAAATCGAATTAATAAAAGTCATGTGAAATAACGGTCCTGGACGGACTTTTTCGTGGAAGAAAAAGTGCTAATCAAAAATCAAGGACTGCTACGCATTTTGGCGTTTGCGTCGCGAAAACTGCTATGCAAAAAAATGACAGTAAATTCATCCCTGGAGTGGGAAAGCGTTTGTTGATGCGATACCAGATACATGTATGTTCTCTTCGCCATCTCGTAATCAAACTTTATGCTCTCATTGACATTGTTGCAGTTTGCCTGATATTCGTGGGCTGATGTGATAATGTAGTGCAATCATGTACATGTATGGGACTACATGTACTAGTACATGATTGTACAATGTAGTACTGTATACATGGTATACATGGCAGTGTCTTTTATGAATCACGCATATACATATACATGTACATGTACATTGTAAAATGTATACAGTTTTCAGTAGAAATTGTTCTTGTTTTTTCCTTGGCTTTTGTTTTTTTTTCCGCCGGCCCGCATACCTTTTGTTAAAATTTGCCGACGAGAAACATAGAAAAAATAAAGTGTGGCCTAAGCAAAACAACAAAAAAACAAACAAAAAAAACAAACAAAAAAAACAAAAACAAAAAACAAAACAAAAACTGTCTGGTTAGTGCAGGTTTTACTACTGTACATGTACCGTAATTTACTAAAGTACCGCCAGAGCGCCCCGTCTCGCGAGAGCGCCCCACCGAGATTTTACAGCCAGAGAAAGGAAAATCGTATGGCTGAGTGCAACGAAGTGTGTACGATGTGAGAATCTTAGTGGACTACAGTGCATTTCAAAACTATAGACGCGTAGGGTTTTTGAAATATTTCAAATTTGGCTGGAACCTTTTGAGAATAGTTTTCGGAATATTGCTCAGAATCGCTCCACAATTACTCTCATATAGTTTCTAAAGGATTAGATAACAGACGCCCAATTTGGAAAAATTTATGCACAAAGTGATCACAGATTTTATGTGGTATAGATGCTGGCATAACGGTTTTTGCCTAGGTACGCGTCTATAGTTTTGAAATGGACTGTAAGGTCACACTTGGCAGGTTTTTGTGTGGAGCTTGTGTCCGCTTGAAGGCACGGATTGACTGCAAAACGTGCAATATGTGTACAAAGGTCATGTCGTATGACCTACAGGCAGCAGACCAGCTCCACGATACGACCACGAAAGGATGAGATGGTGGAGCGCTCTGGCGGTACTTTACGGTACATGCAACAACCAGCACACAGTCATACCCGTACACGCAAATTCGGCCAGGTTTTACAAAACTAGGACAGGTACACCATGACAAACGGCATGCAGGAGCAGATCCAAAGCCCAGAAGAGGAGTGAGCAAGAAAAAAAATGAGCGCCCAACGTGGGGCTCGAACCCACGACCCTGAGATTAAGAGTCTCATGCTCTACCGACTGAGCTAGCCGGGCTGCTTGACAAAGAGAAGGGCATGCCTTCCTAGGAAAAGAACATGCAAGAGAAAGCAGCAGCTGACTCTACCCTCTTATGGATGCTGACAAACCAGTAAAGGTTGTTTGTTTGTTGTTGTTCGTTTATTTAGAGTAGAAGAACAAACAGTCAAATTCGCCTAATTACATGATATCGACTAAAGGTCCGACTAGAAATCCATCACGCCCAACTGTAGACAGCCAAACCGCACAACAGCAGCAAGACTTGATACAGACTGCTAACGAAAGCATTCATTTCGACCATGTCGGTCTCCTGCCGTGCGATTCGGCTATTTTTTTTATAAAATATATTACTATGCACATATCCCTACTGAGAAACATGTGGATGGCAACATTAAACAAGACACAGGGGATGTGGGCTATCTGTATTTGTATTCGTAGCAACAAGGACTAGTTTTGCTGTAAGCATTTGCTATAATTATGTCAACATGCACGAGTAAGATGTGAAACGATGATTGCAAGGCACACGACGAAAAGGAAAGAGAGGATTCGTTCAGATCCGTGTTGCTATACTAAAGCTGCTGTCTCCGAAACGCTTGTTTACGCATTGGTATTCGTTTTGTATTTATGGACTCTCCACAGGCCTCAGCCTAAATCGAGGGGGGTCTCCGTCTACCGTTGTATGAGATGAAGAAGACAGCCAGTGCAAGCACAAGCAATCGTGTACAATGTACGCACTGTACCTTGTTGAGGTCACACATCTTCCAGAAGAGAATGAGCAGCTCTTGGTGCATTGCAACCTTCTTACACGAACCAGGCAGATAAGTCTGGGCAACAAGCAAGCAAACAGCGACAGTAGTAGAAGCAGCGGGAGCAAACAACATCACACACAAAAGCGAGAGCACAGTCACGACCAAAGAACCGGCCCCAACACAACCTTAGGAAAACATCATCAGGACTCCAGTCTCCAGGTCCACCAGTCCACCACTAGCGAACATCACACTTTCATAACCTCTGGAAGAATTGTTTTAGGGGTTATTGCAAAATGGTGGAGTCCCGGAAAGGAGAAGTACATCGTTCATCAGGATTCTGACCCCCCCCCCCCCCATCCGAAATTCATGCAACTTGCTAAGCCGGACAATGTAAATTGAAGCATAAACTTATACAGTGTTGGTGGACTTGTAACCCCCCCGTCTTACAAAGTCACTGCAAATCCTGACACTGTTGCCCGACTCCTCAGAGATACACACAGCCACACCCATCGACTGCGCGCTGTTGTAACTTGAAACTAGAGCATGCTGTTGCTTGGAACGGTTGGGGTTCTCAGACGTACCTGTAACAGTGGGTTGTTCAGTAGGCGACTAATTCCACGCAGGATAAAGGCAAAGTCCTGTGCAAAACCAGATTACAGGTGAGGAACACACAAACGTATGCGTATTCACACACACACACACACACACACACACACACACAGCCACACACACACACACGAACACACACGAACACACACGAACACATGTATGCACACAGCCACACACACACACAGCGGAATTCAGTCCCTATCGTGGGTGGCATACAGTGCGGGGGTCAGATGCGGTAATCCATTTGCCGTTGACCACACTGTAATACAAACCACACATAACTGAAGTCGATAGCTGAGACAATCCTAATGTCAATAGACCTTTCGCTTCTCCGATTCGGTCGAGGGACAGCTGAGTTATGCCAGGTTGCACTTGGAAAAGTATGCACTGTACATTGGTACGGATATATCCGTACTACGGGCCTTAAAAACGGTTTTCAAAAATGTCCCACTTGGCGGGCACACGGTTTAACGACCCTGCCATCACACACCTGTCTTTTGTTTCTCTACTCAAGCACAAACAAGCTCTCACAAACAAACACCTGAGAGTTGATAGAGGTGAGAGTTTAGGACTCACCTCATCGCGGTGTATTCTGGACATGTAGTTGCAGAACAGGTTCTCAGGCTGCCCCTGAAGTGGACAACACGGCAGCCACACCACCAGCATCAGCAGTTGAAATACACAATAATAGCAACCGCAGCAGATGCAAAGCACTTTAACCGTATGCACCAAGTCCCCACACGGACTGGTGTGGATATTGAAATCCGTTGTGAAGTCACGTGGCCACTGGGCACTGACCTTGCAGCCGTGTGAGCACAGTTGCTCCATTCTTGCAGTGTGCGCGCGAACCACAGTGCTAAGGCAGTAAGAGTGCCGGTCTCGGTCATCCCACCGGATCTCAATGTCCACAACAGAAGACAGGCATGACCGGTGGCCAGTCAACGCAAGGCCTATCTTGAGTCCCCCCCCCCCCCCCCACACACACACCCAACACTTATAAAGTGATGTTGATGCCAATCCAGCAGATCACTCTACCATTACAGTATGGTCTGGTGCCGAAGAACAGGGGTTCAGAGTCGTAGCCTAGGCCGTCCGTGTTAGTCATGGATTACGTGGGCATAACGCAAAAGTAAAACCATCATGAAATCAAACTTCAACAATGGGTGTATATGTGTGGACACAGTGCTCCGCGAACATTTGCCATCGTAAACTCGCTGGTTCTGAGAGATCGCAGAATTTAGTGACGAAAAACATCGGGCGGTTTACAGTACACTGCAAGGATTCAGACCCCACACTGAACTACTGGGGTGTTATCAACAGCAAGAACACTAGCACCGAAAGCGCACTCCGTACCTCCTCTGATTCGACAGCCAGGCTGGCTGCCCTGGGCATGACCTCTGCATCCAGGATAACACACAGCAGCTGCGAAGCAATCTCCACGAGCGGCTCGTGCTTGTCTTGTACCATTGCATGGTAGTACCTGCGACAAACAACGACGACAATACACACATGTGCACACAAGCGCGCGTGCATACATACACACACACACACACACACACACACACACACACACACACACGCACACACACACGCACCGACACAGCGTGACAGAGTAGTGAGCAAGAATCCACATACAACACATGCACTCGGTAAAACGGTGCAGAAAGACAGTTTGAAGGTACAAAAAAACTTGGGGAACTGGTGAAAGGCGAGAGAGAGATATTGTGGATTTCCACGTATCAGGTTTATCGACATGAGCTCAACCTCGTAGCTGCTGTGAAAAAAAGGACCCCCCACCCACACATACACACTCATAGATACCACCCACACATAAGCACACGTGTGTAACTTACGGAACTCCGAGGCCAACAGGATCATACGCACACACCGTGTTCAATAGCGATGTGAACAATGGCAGTGCATGCCTATTTGAAGCATACATACAACGCAACAACAACGGTAGCAATGACAGCAACAGCAACAGCAGCAGCAGCAGCACCAGCAGCAGCAGCAGCAAGAAGAACAACGACCAAAGAAACGCACACAATACGAGTCAGTCTAAATCAATGAATCTATCTTGGCAGGAAGAGGAAAACCTCCTCTCTTTTCTTTAGGAATACAGAACAAGAGTCAATGAAGAGTAAAAGTTACTAAAACCTGGAGTGACAGAGCTATTACCAGTGTCCATGCAAAGATCATTCATTACTATGAGTATTACTGCGACACACGCACACACACGCACGCGCACGCGCACGCGCACACACACACACACACACACACGCACAAACAAACACACACACACACACACACACACACACTGTACTGTACTTGCTCACGTGCGTCTCCCCGGGAGAGTGGAGAAACAGACTCAAAAGGAATCTTAAAAAGAGGACTCGATTGGCTACTGAACTGCCCAACAGCCGACACCCCCTGAAATCCCCAAACATGGGTAGACTTGGAAATGATCCCACTTACGGGCTCACCGCACCTCAGTAAGTGGGCGAGGACAAGGTGCAGAAAAAGGATTGACGGCACCAGGGCATCCGATGGACACCCCCCCCCCCCCCCCACACACACATGCATGCACACACCACCAAACAGAACACACACCAGTACAAACAGAGACACCCGCACAGCTGTTACCGCCATTGCCACCTAAAGTGATAGCATCACTTATCATCACCTCACCCATCGAAGTATCTTACCGGTTGTGCGACGAACAGAAATAGTTGAGCCACTGATTGCTTGTTGTTTCAACGTCCGCTATGTATATGAACAGTGAGAGCAGCACCAGCAGCAACAGAAACAGAAATAAAATGTTCTCTCTTTCTCTCATACTAGTGCTCAGCCACTGCCCAATAGAGCCAGTACATACATCTTATTTCCGCACTCGCTGTTATGATATCTAAACTGGGAGCTGCAACCAAATGTCCTAATTTCTGTGCTCAAAGCTCTGTCCCCAGGTATTGAGCACTGTTTGAGCAGTGAACGACCGGGCATTGAGCATTGTTTGAGCAGTGGAAATCTGGATATTGAGCACTATTTGAGTGGCGGAAATCGCCTAGTCTAGTGTGTACTGCAGTGTCTACTCCAGAGCCGGGTCAGCGACCTGGTTGTGGGTGGGGGGGGGGGGGATACTTTGACCCATTTGGAAAAAGAACACCGGGTCATCTGTGACCCAGTGGCGAATACATGTACATTATACATCAGGGAGTCCTAATTTTACAACTCCCTGATTAGATGTACCGTAAAGTACCGCCAGAGCGCCCCGTCTCGCGAGAGCGCCCCACCTTGATTTTACAGCCAGAGAAAGGAAAATCGTATGGCAGAGTGCAACGAAGTGTGTACGATGTGAGAACCTTAGTGTACTAAGGTCACACTTGGCAGGTTTTGTGTGGATCTTGTGTCCTCTTGAAGGTACGGATTGACTGCAAAACGTGCAATATGTGTACAAGGTTCATGTCGTATGACCTGCAGACAGCAGACCACCTCCACAATACGACCACGAAAGGATGAGATGGTGGGGCGCTCTGGCGGTACTTTACGGTACATGCAGCAGCCGCACTTGAATGGACCTGCCTCTGACCAGGTTGCAAGGGTTGTGCCAGGTACACATGAGTCCGCTTGTCTCGTGCGATCGGATTTCATTGATCAGTACCGTGTAGGTATTAACACACACACACATGCATTGACTCAACACATACATGTAGCTGATTTGTACATGGTCTCGGAGAAGCAGGTCAATAGAAGACGCAGTAGCTCAGCACGGTGTCCGTCCAGATAGCCCGTAGTGCCAGGGGATAGTGCAAAACCAACACCGGCCTCCCTGCAAGAGTACGGGCAAGCACACAGACACACACACAAAACCGCGCGCACACATGCATGCACAGGCCACACTCATACACACACGCACACACACGCGCACACACGCGCGCACACATACACACCCATGGGTCAGGACAATCGCCGATAGAGTAAAACTTGAAGACGCTTAGCAGCTGACCCACAGTACATATACAGTTCACTCACACTACCCCTATCAATACTAGCGCAACACTGCCCATATTCGTGTGCCACATTTGCAGAGGACTAGACAGAAAACCAACACACACTCTTGGTGCAATCGCATGCACATGTATGTCGTGAAGGAGCTGAGTAGCAACGAATGTGTCGCTTTGCTGGTGGTGTGCTGTGGCAACGCCGTGCCGAGGTCGGCTGGGGAGCAGAGTTATATGGTGTGGTGGTTGAGTAAAAATCTGCACAGGGCCGAATGATGCTGTGTACCTCTTATTTATCACAAGTACTGTAAAAAAAGCAGAATTTTTCGGTGGTGTAATACTTTCAGTATTCTCCAAAATCGGCGGTTCGGTGGAGGGAAATTTTCGGTAAACCCGTTTTCCAGGTAAGTGTACTAGTACCGAAATTTCCGGTGCGTTTATTTTAGATAAAATTGTCGGCACCGAAGTTACCGAAAATAAAGCACCGCCGAAAAGTTCTGCTTTTACAGTATGTCATCTAAAAATCTGCAAAATTTAGGACAATGTGCTGCAGCATTCGCTTACCAGATGTACTCGCAGCTGTCCACATTGCTCAAATCCTCCGGACTGTCCTGTGTGCGCGTGATAACAAAACGCACACAGACACAGACACACATGCGCGCACGCACACGCACACACACACACACATGCACACACACGGACACAGCAAGAAAGGGCTTGCAAACAATAACAAAAAACACCAACAAAGAACCAAAATCAAAAAGGTCGTCGGCATCGGCGGTGAAAGAATGTGCAGTATGTTGTGATGCAACAGCGGTTTCGTGAATAACATCACCGACAATTCATCATAATGCCTGGTGTACCGGTATGGACTGTGGCAGGACAAACCAGTGCTTGGGGTGCACCATAAAACATGTTGAATAATGACATCATCGAATAGCCTCTCTATCATACTTTACATCACCATCATCAAATCATGACACCGCAAGCAGTGAAATGAAGTAATCCTACATGACATGGCTTGGCGGAGGAGACGATGACAAAGATGAAGGTGATGTGCTGAAGTGCTGGGAACAGTGTCAAGTGGAGGCGAGGTGGAATGGGTACCGAGCAGCTGACACATGCTACACAAGTCAGATGGCACGAGTGGCGATAGTGCAAGAACGCTACTTATCCAAGTGGACGTGCGCGTCCGTGTGCGAACACACACACACACACACACACACACACACACACACACACACACACCTTGCAGGATGGATGCCAAACAGAAACCGTGACGGTTGGGTTGACACCAATGCGGTTGCACGGCCAGATGAACACAAAGAACGAGAAAATTAAAACTGCACTTCAAAGACATGGCGGAATGGTACGACCTGATGGCAGCAGATGACAAGGCTGGCAAATATCCAAAAAACTGACAAAGCGCGTGGCCGACGTGACGAAATCCAACCCAACACGAAAGACAGACAACTGATGCAAGAACTCACGAACGTATCGCGACCACACATCCCAGGTCTCTGCAGGTGCCGACAAGCGGCAAGTGACCCAAAACCAGCAGGTACACCAAAAAGGGGCGGGGCGCACACACGAGTTCGGGGAAGAAGCAACGACACAGACACACAATGAAAGGGGCACAACTTTTCAGTTATAATGATCAAAGGCTTCAGAAACCCGGATATGAATCCACAACTTGACAGAAGACAAGCATTTTTTAAATGAGTATAATTACGTACAAAACAGTGACAGGCATCTTCACGGTGTGCGGATACAAGGAAGACGTGAACAATGAACATCCTTGCTAACCAGTGAATCCGATGCACTGTTGCTAATTAATTACACGCAGTAGGGAGAAAGGGAACATATACTATTCACGACCGCAGGAAGCAGTTATTGATTGGTCCGGTAGTATTGTGGCCTTTCATATTTTGGGTATGGGTTTTTTGTTTTTTTGTTTTTTTTTTACTTTTGACACAGCCCTACTGGAAAACAGGTGGAGAACAAAAAGAAACGAGGAAAAGGTCAAAACATAGTATGGTGGATACACATGCCCTCCACAGTACTAAATACATGTTGGTGGCCACAAAGTTGGTCCGATAATAACCTGACCAACCGGACCGGTTCCGGCGCGCCTGCTATTATAGCTACGGGCTCCACCTGATAGTGGTGAGCACGCTTGGGTCAGTGGGGAGATCTACTTGTTATTGCTGAAGCCAGGAACCTACCGGACCAGCTTTCTTGACAGCGATCACGGTGAAGTCAGGGCAGAAGAGGAGATCCTGAGCAAGAAGAACGCAAACAAGAAGAAAGCGAAGAGAAGCGCTCATGATCATGACCAACACCAACCCATGCAACGGGCCTAACGACAATACGCCGACCACATATGCGTCAGCCATTCGGGATAAATCAGGGAAATCTTTCTCAGCGACACCATCAATACATCTGCAGTGTCCTGGATCATGACTAGCTATTGCTGGAAACAAGAGTACACAACCCCTAAGAGGGTGCAGGGGCGTCACACACGGTATGACCATGGTCGTACCACTTTTCGTCCAGGATGGTCTGCCCAGAGCGCCTGTAGAGTGTTAAAATATGCCCTTTGGGGCAAAAAGTCCGATTTTCCCCATGGGACCCCCCCCCCCCCCCCCCCCCCCCCCGTATCCCGGCCGTACCACTTCCCACTGCCCTGTGACGCCCCTGGTGTGCAACTGCCTGCACAACCTCTATGCAGTGTAGCGACGGCAGAACTTCACATCACGTGACATGGTTCAAAAGGTTACGCTGGCAAACAGTGCAAAGTGACCAGCAAAGAGTTGAACCCAAACCTGGGTTGCGTACAACCCTGTATCTATCGTGCACAAATTGCAAAAAATGTTTACGAGTTCATCACGTGATGTGAAGTTCTGGACCCCATAGCTGGAGTTGCACACTCTTGGGGGTTATGTACTCTTGCTGTAAGTCGTCCACCTGTGGTATGTCAATCATACGCACAATGCGATAAGTCAACCACGAACAACAAACCAGCTACATGCGGTATGTCAACTACGCGCGTTAAGTCAACCACACGTGGCAAGTCCACCACACGCTGTCAGCTAACTACCCACAGCGAGTAAACCCCACGCGGCAAGTCAAGCAGCCGCAGTATGTCAACCACACACAGTAAGTTAACCAATCGTGGGTAAGGTTAAATAAAACCTAACTCCCAAAAGTCGGCATGGAGAAAGAAATTTAATAAGAGCATCGTAAAAAGAAAAAGAGTAAAATTGATACAGACATGGCCAAACAACATAACGACGTTATTGAGTTTAAAGAATTACTAACGCCCAAAGCTAGTGTTTAATACGTACCAGTACAGCCCCAATGAGTGACTGAGCGAGTGGAGGTGGTGCATCCGGAGCAGTACTGCTGCCCTCGCTCTGGCCAGGCAGGGCCGACCAGAAGAAACCGCGCCACTCCTGATCCTCAAAGATGTACGGCAGTATGCGCGTCAGCAGACGCACACAGTTCAGAACTGCACACGGCACGCACGCGCGTTAACGGACACGGAGAGCCATACAGACACACGGACAGACATACGGTCACATACACACATCAGTGATTATCTGCATAAGCCCAGCGCATTCTTTACGGAACTGACGATACAACAAACAGGTCCAGCATTAGCATTGGACAGATGACACACACTTTTCTAACGGACAAAACAACGAGAATGCGGACTCAAGCCAACCGGGAGTCATCGTGAGCGCTGCACACAATCCGTGCTCTCAAGCAGCACACCATACACACTTATCAAGTACATGTACAGTGTCCTAGCAACCCAACACAATGATGCGAGCGTACCCAGATTGTGCTTATTGCGAGGACAGCCACCGGCTGCAGATCTGACGAGATGCTCAACAGCCTGCCAGGAACACAAACAAACAAACAGTGAGGATGATGTGCATGTTATCATTACAAGGATGAAAGCCAGGATAATAGTCAAAACTCAAAAAGTGTTGTGAGAGTCCAGTAGATACAGCTGTAGGCAAGGGTCCAAGCCTGGATTTAGACAGAAAGTGTATGGACAATGCATCACTTGCCCCAGTAGGATGTGTGTGAGAGAGGGTGTTTGTGAGAGAGAGAGAGAGAGAGAGAGAGAGAGAGAGAGTGTGTGTGTGTGTGTGTGTGTGTGTGTGTGTGTGTGTGTGTGTGTGTGTGTGTGTGTGTGTGTGTGTGTATGCGTGCGTGTGTGGTGTGGTGTGGTGTGGTGTGGTGTGTGTGTGTGTGTGTGTGTGTGTGTGTGTGTGTGTGTGTGTGTGTGTGTGTGTGTGTGTGAGAGAGAGAGAGAGAGAGAGAGAGAGAGAGAGAGAGAGAGAGAGAGAGAGAGAGAGAGAGAGAGAGAGAGAGAGAGAGAGAGAGAGAGAGAGAGAGAGAGAGAGAGAGAGAGAGAGAGAGAGAGAGAGAGAGAGAGAGAGAGAGAGAGAGAGAACAAGGCAATGAGCAGAGGGCACGGACAGGGCGGGATGTCACAACAATAGAGAGGTTCCGCATAACGTAATTACGTTAGTAAAAAACGTAGTCGATCTACGGAAAGTCTTACGTAAACTGCATGCGGATCTGGGTTCCGCCATACGGAGTTTTCAAATCACGTAGCTGCCCTTGGCAACTCCGAACGCGGCAGTGTACGACCAGATCGACCTGGGGCCCATGGGGAGAGAGTCATAAATTTGTACCCCAATCCACTTACGGACCAGCTACGTTATCAGAGCCCTATCTACGTACTCTCCGTAGACAACTTTCCGTAAGTGGAGTGCAAACTCGCGAATTCACGGGTTTTTCCCACCCACTAACGTAAAGTTGCTCAACTTTACGTAGTGCGGAACCTCTCTATTGTCAGGGACGCGCCAAATATTGAAGTACGTATCGAAAATCGCATCTCACCTTGTAGCAGAGAGTGGCGAGGTTCGAGGGCGCTTCATCGCGCAGTGTGCGGATCTCTTGCGAGGTAATCAGAGTGAAGGCATCCTGAGGACCGGTCAGGCCGGATGTCTGGAAGATCTGGTCCCAGAAAGACTCCTCCGACGAAGCAACAGTCTGCACCAGTTGACACAGACAATGTCCACACAGAAAAAAGAGAGAGAAAGAGATAAAATCAATAGCAGAAAAACAAAAGCGCCACACTCTCCCCAGAGGTTACAACAGCAACACACAATACAAATCCACTGCTTCCTAGCCAGAGCACAGATAGAATACAAAGAAAATGAACCAATCTTTCAAGTATACAGCGTGCAATCCAGGAGCTGTGCCGTGACAGACACGAAAGCAGAAAGCAGAAAAGGTTCAAAAGCCGCACACATACACACTCTTGGCTGACATGACTGTACTGTAGCAAGAATACATAACTCCCCAAGAGTGTGCAACTCCAGCTATGTGGTCTGCGACGGCAGAACATACAGGGTTGTACGCAATCCAGCTGTGGGTACACCTCTCTTGTGGTCACTTTGCTCTGTTTGCCATTGTAACCTTTTGAACCATGTCTTTGCTCTGTTTGCCATTGTAACCTTTTGAACCATGTCATGTGAAGTTCTGCCGTCGCAGCACTGCATAGAGGTTGTGCAGGCAGTTGCACACTCTTGGGAATTACGTACTCCTGACCGTAGTGATAGATCTTATGCCGGTTGTACAGATGTACTGTCGTGATAGACCTTATGCCGGTTGTACAGATGTACTGTCCAGGACATAGAAAGCCAGTGGAATGGCCGTGGCCGGCGTCCTTACTTGCTTAGCGCGTACACGCACTGTAGCACCGTAAAAAATAGACCAGCATGCATGCAGCAGTGCTTACGGCTGCAAGGCCAGCGCCCGGTGGCCGCTTGCTTTCTAAACGTATTTTCAATGTCTGCAACAGTACCAGATCTTGTACGCCCTGTACCGCCTGTTTGCATGTCTTTTCACAGTCACGCTATGGTGTGGCTGTAAAGTGAGAAACTCGGCTAGAGATTTAAATTTCGCTATTTTCACGACCATCACACATTCGCCAATAGAAATCGCCGCACACTGCTCTGTACGTGGATCGTAGACTGCACAAGCAATCAGGTCAACATAATGGATAAACGCGCACCCAGCGCAATAGGCCCGCTGCAGAAAGGCACACATGCGGGCCGCACGGACTACAAGTACCGTAAAATCCCGCCAGATCGTCTCTCTCATGCGCCCCTCCCTGAATTCTTGTCAGGGAAGTGATAATGATTGTACCATCGCATGACTCTGTGAAGTGTGATGCCGTAGTGCATTGCAAACGCGTGCTCGACCCGGTTGGAAGTGTACGCCACAGTTCACACCCTCTAGACCAGGGATCGCACAAACCCTGGGTTTTGACGGGTCTGTACGGCTCCCAGCTCTTGACCTTTGGTTGGTGCATGAGACGAGACGCACAGTTTTCGTAGGGTGATTCATAGGGCTCAAACGGTTAATCCGATTAACCGGTTACAGACCGGTTACGAAGAATTAACGGTTAACCGATAAAGATAACGGTGACGCAGTAACTTTTCAGTCAATTTTTCCCAGTATCAGGTCGTTGCAAAGTATGCACTTTCGCAGGCTGTCGCACGCGTACGCAATTTCTGGGCTGTCAACTCGGTCATATCTGGTCTCTTGGTGTGAGAGTATGTATGAGTGAGCATGCAAGAGAATGTACATGTGTGCGTTGTACTGATTAGGGTACACTTTTTGAATGAGTATAGTCAAATATACCGTTATAAAAGAGTCCGCAGGATTGCCATGGCTTATAGGTTATAACCGTTAAACCGACCGTTAGCTTAGCAGTTAACCGTTAGGGGTAAAACCGTGACCGCTTGAGCCCTAGTGATTAACTCTTTCCGGGTTTATGATGAGTATACTCGTCATGCAGACCCCATCGCGTCTGGGCTATGAGTATACTCGCGCTATACTTTTTGTACAGTCCACGTACCGTACGCACTGATAGATCACTGTACAAACAGCCATAACTCTGGAACGGATTATCGCATCGCGAAAATCTATAGCTCATTGGAACGGTCTTGGAAAGGGCTTTCCAGAGGTGTTTTCGGTGTGGCGATAGCTCAACAAATGATCGAGCGGCAATAAATTGAACGCGCGATTTCGATCTGAACATTTTTCTTACTTTCTGTCTGGCGATATTTTTGCGACTTTCAAGTCATTCAAGGGGATTTCCCAATGACGTGTGAAAGGCAGCATGACGTATGAGTACATCATTTGAATCGCTTGAATCTCACGAGCTCGATGCAGTTTGAATCGTAGTTCTACGTTGAGTATGAGCCCCAAACCGAAGGAAATAGTTGAGCGTGGTCTTGATGCCAAACTGGCGCACGGTAGGGACACTGTTGGCGTCCTTGAGGTGCTGTATGCTCTGAAAGTACGTGGAAGATGACGAGCAGGAAAGGAGCTTTCCAGTAAGCCATAAGTTTTGAAAATCCGTTGAGAAACAAAAATGTTGTGACAATTTGTTTGTTGCTATCTCCACAATTGTACTGATGCACTGAATTTCAGTGCCCAGACGTAGTAAATGCACTGTGACCCTGAAAGGGTTAAGTTACTTGTTCATGTAGTGCCTGAATGCGGCAATGACTCACCTATCCGCCCTCCCCACCTGGACCTGCTGGAAAGGTCGCGGATGGAGGGGCGCTCTGGCGGGATTTTTACGGTACATGCGCACGAGATTGCAAGCATCATTGCGCACACTTTTACAGCCGGCATAAGGTCACATGATGGGGGAGGTCCCCTCGCTGGACAAGTGACAAGAACTACTGTTTCAGGGGCATCACACATGGTACGACCAGTACAGCCACGGTCATACCACTTTTCATTCAGGATAGTCCGCCCAGGGCGCCTGTAGAGCGCTAAAAACGTGCTCTGTTGGCCGAAAAGTCCGATTTTTTTCCCTGGTGGACACCCCGCGCCCCTGTTCGTACCACTCCACACTGCCCTGTGACGCCCCTGTGTTTCGTGCCACTTTCGACTTGTAGCTAGCCTGGCTGTGCTTGTATGGTACACGTACATACTACGGACTACGTCCACACCAACACAAGGTACAGTGCATAAACGTAGCATTGAGAATGAAGTGCCAGAGAGAATCTTTCACGAAAATTTAAAAACGTTACTAGTATCTGACAATGGTAAGAATTGTGCAGTGTAAGTCTGTTCGTACTCCAGTGATTGTACATGTATAACTAAAACGTGGAGAGTAGAACACGTGAAGGTATTGTAATACGTGTACAATTATATTCTGAACGCACTCTAACCCCAGTACAAGTGCACCGTAGCCGAGGCAATCGTAATAATCGTTTATTGTCACCTCTCCATCGCTGAGTAATACACACTGCTGTCGTAAAAGCATGGAATCTAATGGACACACCACACCACTGGGCTGTTTTCAGCACTGGTGAAATAAGGCCTCTCTGAGCTGGTGTCAGCAGCTGGTAAATGCCATGTCAGAGACTCAGCAAGATGGTTATTTCCTGAAAGCAATAACAATTCCGTGCACTCACCACCGTCTTCCCAGTCAATTGCAGAACGGTTCCGCGAAACGCCTGCTTGCTCTCCACGCCACCCATGGCGAGTTGAGAACACTTTCCGCAACCACCAGGTCGACTTTACGAGTTTCCAGACCACCACAAGGTAAAGGCAAGTCCAGAAACGAACAACATACGGGGGTTGAAACAGTGAAAGAATGTGAAATGCGAAAAATATATTGAAACATGAAGCACTGACTCTGACTGATCTGAGTGAACAATGCATGCAGTGGTGTTTGACTCGGATCATCCACAGATCCATGTCGTCACCCAAAGAGTTTGTTGACGTAAAAACGTTGTTGCCGGTCAGCTGATCATGTCATACCGTAACCAGCCATATAGGCCATGTATACATGTACCATGCCATGCGCATATGCAAGCAATGAAGCATGCTGCACTGGCACAAAAAGTCTACATCCAGATCCCCCATGGCCCATCAGCCCATGCCAGGCCCAGCAGTAATACTAATAGCTAATACATGGGGGCACACATGAACCAGTCCAAGACTCCACAGGGTCGCCCAGGGTCCCTCCATGGGACCCCTGCTTCCATGCAAGGACCGGTTGGGAGGCGAAAAATGCCACAGGTACAGGGTAGGGCGTGTTTACATAACTCGAAAAATGATTGGCAGATTCTGCCCGGAAAGCAGTGAAATTGGCAGAACCGCACAAACCTTATGCGTGCTCCATTTCTTTGTCCTCATACGTTAGTAGGCACACTAGTATATGTACCAAAAAAAGAAAGAGAAAAAGAGCTCTGATCACGTTGTTTATGTACTCTTGCTATCGGTAAGGGTGCGCTCACACAACGGTAAGCCGGGAGCACAATTCTTACGGATTACCATTGGGGTTCATGTAACCTTAGTAATGCTGAGAAAAATGGTATCGCCAAGAGTCACGTCATACGCGGTTCCGAAGTCTTGGTACTAGGCCTCCGCGGAATATGCTCGTATTTTTACCGATAATTCTTTTGAGCATTGCTCAAAATTTCGACCGATTATTCCCGTAATTCCACCAATAATTCTCACAATAATTCTTTTTTTCTTCCCTTTTTTGCAGATACCGTGCCGCGTACGGGTTTTTTGCCACTTGTACGGGCAAAAAAATCACGGTTCGCGTGAAACTCGGCTGGAAGCTTTTTTTTCTTTCTTTTTTGAAATACCGGGCGATCAACTTCAGGATCATGAGCTTTTTGGTACAAATCAGGGTGCTATAAATGGAAAAAAATTGAAAAAAGGGGGCATCGCTCAAATTTTACCGATTATTCCACAAAAATTGCCAATAATTCCCGTTTTAAAAATCACACCGATAATTCCCGAAATTATGCCGGCACATTCCGCGGAGGCCTACTTGGTACCAGGGAGTAGTACAATACCGGTATTGTACTACTCCCTGCTTGGTACCGTATCGTAAAAAGTCACTAATAACTTATACATGTACACCTACATGTACATGTTAGGCCTTGGCGGATAATGCTCGAAAAGGTGGCAGATTCTGCTTTTTTTGCACCGAAATTGGCAGAACCATACAAACCTTATGGCGGGCAATTCCTCGAATTCTGCTCCATTTCTTTATCCACATACCAAACATGCATGAAACTTACCAGAAAAAGTACCGAATTCTGCCAATTTTTCTGCCGGCATTATCCGCCAAGGCCTACTACATGTACATGAAGATGACTCCACTTTTTTAGTTGCATGCCGAATGTTGCCACGGACGATAGTGGGATGATCGCATTACATAGACATTGCGTCGCATCACGTCGACACTCAAAATATTAATTATTGTCTTTGAGTCACAGCTATGACTGAGACCGTCGTGACGTCAGTATTCACTGTTCAAGTTGTATTACTGTGTAACTCCAACAGTCTGCCTAGCGCCTGCTGCTTATAATGTAACAGTCGACTCCTGATATAACGAACACCAATTGTGCAGGAGAACCAGTACTTCTTTATAGGCAAAGTTCGTTATAACAGAAATGCACTCACACTATATACATGTAGAAGGCAACACGTCGTGTCTGGCATTTGGCCCACGGCTATATCAGTGCATTCGCATCATGGCGTACATGCGCAGCGGACATGCGGTGCTACTATAGATATGGTTCGATAGAGACGAAAACGGTTCGCTACAAAGGGTCAACTTTGTAAGGGGTTCAAACAGGAACACAGGCAATGCCCATTTGTCACACTTACTCCTCTTAGCCCTCACTTTTTTTGTAATACTTACGCGTCATGTGTCACACTTCTTTGGATTTTTAACCTTTGTTTTTCCCTTGATCACTTTAGTTCCGTATTTCCACTGATGATCGGAGCTTGAAAATCGATTCTGGAAACACACAATCTAAAAAAACCTTGAAAATTGTCATGTTGCGTGGTGATGTCTGCGGCATTCATACTTTTCACAGCTACATGTATTATTAAACTTTTATCTCCACGTAGATTATGAGTCTTAAAATACCGGTATTTTACGACTCCCTGGATTTGACTGTACAAAAATAATGTACTTCAGTACAGTAAAAAGTTACTACTAAAAACTGTCAAGGCGACCAATCGATAAGGTGACCACCTGTCTCAGAGGATCACTACAAGTAGGACCAAGGGGTGGGTTTTTTCCCCCAGCCAAATGACACTGGATAAGGAGATCTCCTGTCGCATTTGGAATGCCCCTTGAGCGGTCGCCCTAGACAGGTCTCACTGCAAAGTCATTAGCTAGGATTGGACCGGACTGAAGTTGAGAGTTGGAACGCCCGTCAGCTCTTCCTCTCCACCCCACGTGGCCGGCAGCAGCAAACAGCAGCAGCAGCAGCCTACGCAGCAATGGCTGTCGACGGTAAGCCCACACCCATTGCAGCCAACCCACGGACTGAGACTGCAGAGCCGGGTAGACTCCACACAAGGATAACAACTCACAAACTCAACAGCGTACAGCGTATTTGCATGTTGTCGCGGACCACACACGATACACGAGACAGAGACCACCGAAGCAGAAAACAAGGGGCGGGAAAGAATATGCCACCGGAAAAAAGGCACAACTTTTTCTTATGAATATGTCAAGCGGTAAACAAAAATACTTCACCAGTACGATACATGCAAACACAGCAGTGAAAGAGCATGAACGAAGTAAGGACTTTAAGAAAAAGTACAATGCAGTGGAATATAGAAGCTGGTGAACTACAGCGGGGCTAAGTCCGCGGTACCTAAAATAATCAAGTTGGTTATTCTAATTGCACGTCCGTTGCCCAATGCACGGAGCGGCGTGTTGTGTCGTCCGTTGCCCAATGCACGGAGCGGCGTGTTGTGTCGTCCGTTGCTCAATGCACGGAGCGGCGTGTTGTGTCGTCCGTTGCTCAATGCACGGAGCGATGTGTTGTGTCGTCCGTTGCCCAATGCACGGAGCGGTGTGTTGTGTCCTAGGCTGTCTTATGGGTATAGTACAGGTAGCAGTACAGTGTCGTGAATGAGCGGGTGGCGGGTACAGAATGATCACGGGGTAGTCAGGAGATCAATACCTATACTTATTATTATCTAGAGCTGCACGCACGTGAGAAAACAGTAGAAAACAAGCCTGGTGGTGCATGGTACCACTGGAGACTGAGTTTAAATTTAAACGTTGAGAATGGGTGCTACGGTGATTGTTGCAGTGGTGCCAGGTCATGCAGCACGACACTTGGGACCAGCCATAATGATGCCAATACACGTACACACACGCGCGCGCGCACACACACATACACAAACATGTGCGTGCAAACCTACAAACAGACATGAACAGGCACGCACATACACACACACACACACACACACACACACACACACACACACACAACACACACACGTACACACACGCACACACACACCACGGCCAACAATAACAAAAACTAACCTACTAGTCGTCGGACAACGGCGCCGGGTGCATCTGGTGGTGCTCTAAAAGCGAATAAGCTTCGTCAGCAAGCTCTTCCAGACGCGGCAGCAGGTTCTGTGCAGCATACATACGAAGCTGCTGTGCGCATAGCAACGCGGTGCTGCAGAAAACTCCATCCGGCGGGTCAACGCCCAGCACTCGAGATACCGCCGCCACTTGCGCTTCGGCCTGCAGTAGCGCCGCGGTTCGAGCAGCGTTGTAAGGCGACACACCGCTGCTGCTGTTGCTATGGCTACTGCTGGTGGCGGTGGTGGCGAGTGTGTGACGACTGCCACCGTTGCTGACTGCGGACGCATGGCTGCTGGGCCGCGTTCTGGACGTGCCCTGCTGCGCCGTCGATCTCCGCGGCGGTGTCGACGTGTTCGGCGTCGACGCACGCGCCGAGGAGCTCATCGTCGTCGACGCGCCCGCTGTCAGGGCAGTCGTTGCTATGGCGACGCTCGGCGCTACGACAACGCTCTGTGCCAGGACTGAACTCAATGCCATTGTGTTCGATGCCTGACCGTGTATGGCGGGCGCTGCGCAGGTCATTGGAACGGTACAGCTGACGATGTCGTTGTGCTCGTTGACCACGATGTTGACCTCGACCTCGGATGAGTCGGAGCCCTCGCCCACCAGGATCGGTCCAATGATGTCCCTTTCAACCTGGTCGTCGTCACGCGCAGTTGCACGTCACAGAATATAGCAGAGACCACATGCGCAGGCACGCACAGACACATACACACAAACAAAAAATCCCAATTCACATCAGCATAATGGTGCACTGCGGGATGACGTCTCCATCCAAACCCAACCCAAATGATCAGATCTCTTCGCAGACATGAGGATCTCTAATAGCAAGAGGATTTCGTGTTCGAGTTCGCACTCCAATGACAGACGAACTCAGTGACGAAATTCGCGTTGTAGTACGGATTTTAAACGAACAGAGTTTGCGCTTGCATGACGTTGACAGGTCGTACATGTGTGTGGACATACGCGAGCCTTGCTTGACAACAATACAAGTATGTACTTTTATGCCTGCCCAACACGAATCCAGGGTAAGTGTTCCGACTGCTTTTCCGAACGAAAAGTGCGAAAGTTTGCATTTCGGCTCGCGAACCGAAACGTGTTCACTAACTTGAACACAAAATTCCTCTTGTTAAACCTCTTACTATCAAGAGTACATCCCCCCCCCCCCCCCCCCCCCAGAGTGTGCAACGCCTGATCCAGCTCTGCATAGGGCCTTGGTCGAGCGTAATCGGATCTTTGCGTCATAATGCCATACAGATCTGAGGGGACCCGGGGAGTTGCGGGGACTCTTGAATCAAAAACAACGGTGCCCGCCTCGAGACCGGCTTGTCTTGATGAAATCATGGGTCGGGTGAGACTTGGGGAAAAAGCTGAGAAAAAGAAAATGAGAGAAAAAATTGGGTCTGTCCGGGATTTGAACCCGGGACCTCTCGCACCCTAAGCGAGAATCATACCCCTAGACCAACAGACCAGACGATCTTCTCAGGGCAAAAGTACGGCACATGTACTTGCCTGATGATGGCTCCTGGCCGAAAATTTGATTGAGAATTATTGTAATTTGCAGCGAAGAGACCACTTGGATTGAAGATGGTGTGTGTGTAAGGTTTTCCATTTAATGAAGTGGCTGCAGTGGAGCTTGCGCACACAAGACATGTACATGCAGTTGGCATAAATAATTGCCCCGGACAATAATTACTTACAAAAGGGTAGGGCCAGGTAGGGTTGTCGCAAAAGTTTTCTGTCGTCCCCGAAACGAAAATCGTTCGTTTCGCACCTGGACCCCTCCCTCTGAAATGAACGCAGCTTGCTATGCTGGACGACGAAAATCGCATGCATGTACATGTCATATGTACAATGTTGGTCGACTTGCGATTTTGGTTCGTAATCCCCCCCCCCCCCCCCCCCCCCCCAAACGAATCATGTTCGTTTCAGGGACGACAAAAAAACTTTTGCGACGACCCCTTACAAAATGTAACAACAGAGCTGCTGCAGATCGATCACATGACCACACAGGACGGCCATGTTGGTTCCAAGAACAGTGAATCCCTGCATGAATGAGTCACATGACACTGGCCATGCTAGTGCCACTGTCCACATGCCATGTACAGTACAATCATGCACTGCTCAACGGAGTCCAGTCCCGTCACTCAGGCACGCGCCGGGCGTTGCGCAGCCCTACAGTTATAGACCTGCGAACACTGGGCTGCCAAAGGCGGCAAGGCGCAAACGTGAGCGACGCGACTGTATTTCATTCCGCATGCCATTTACAGTGCTGGCAACTGAAATCCGACCCCCTGAGCGGTGCGCTCACATGGCAAAAACCCGAAATAGAGGCCGCTAGTAAGTGAAAGCGCCGCCCAAGGGGTCGGATTTCAGTTGCCAGCACTGTGCTACACTTTCTAGACAAATGCAGTCTGCAAGATACGACGTGTTCTGCGATGATACCACTTACCGGTGCTTTCCCGGGGAAGCGCTTCTTGAAGGAGTCGAGCCAGCCGTTGGAACCTCTGAACTCAGGAAACCCGAGCGCCTGGCCGACCTCCCTGGCCTTGGCCTGGATCATGGGGCCGGTGACGACGGGGTCGCGTTCCTTGGCTTCCAGGTACCAGTCCCTCACCTGGTCATTGAGCTGCTCGTACTTGGAGCTGCGGCCCTTGGCGTACTTGCGCGAGGCGTCCGTGCCGCCTTTCCACAGCTCCAGGACGCGCTCTTTCGACTGGAGAATGTTGCTGATCTGCGTCTTGCCCACATCCATCTGCGTGGCAATCGCTCGGCTCGATTCCCCTGCGGAAAGGTACGGGAGCAGAAAACGTGGAAGCAAAACATTCGAAATAATTATGTCATTGCACGCTCACAGAGCACTGTTAATCTGCTGCTGCCGGTTTCTGCTTTTACGCCTCGCCTGGGCTGTCGTCTCCTATATTTTCCACCCCCAGGGGACTTACTCGTATCTGGGGCTCTAGAGGTTCTTTACAGTGAATATGGAGACTAGGGCTGAAACAATTATACCGATAACTCGCATATCGATCGTTAAGAGTGCAATCAATAATCGTTAGTGTTTAAAACGAGTGCTAACGATTTATTATGCATGCATATCAGTGACAGTATTCTAGCCCCTGCACTCCATCCAATTGTGAATACAAGTACAATCATGTACTTCCAAGCGCGGTAAAATTTATTTGTGGCTTTGAAAGAGATCGGGAGAGAAGACTTTGTCTTTTTCGTTCATTTGTGTGAGAGGTTGGAGATAAGAGCAGTTGCCAGAGGGTGATGACAAGATTCTTTGCTGTAGAAACAACATGAAATTCTTTAGTTCATGTTGATAAACCAGCCAGATTTCCACAGATGTCAACAGTGCGGTGCCACAAATTTCTAATGTACCAAAGGTATCATGGAATTTCTTCATAAACTGGTGTGCGAGGTACACGAGTAGAGCCGACAAGAATCGATAAAACCAATATATCGATCGTTAATGATATTGGTTGATCGTTAGGAGTTATTGAATGATCGTTTCAGCCCTAATGGAGACAGAGATGCTTTTTTTCATGGAAGGGATTGTTTTGCAAGGCGGGTTAAGGTAGCGGGGTGGGTGCGCTAGTCCCGTCTGTAGATCACACGACACGTACATTGCGCGCACGCTGCACGATTTGTTGTAGTCCATACTCATTTCATCCGGGACGGCAACATCAAAACTGACGACCCCCCGACCTGCGGGACTCGGCCTGTGCTTGCCCCCTTCTCTGTATCAATGCAACGTAAACACTGGTGTTCCTTGCCGATGTGACAGCGCGGCTGAAGCTAAACTGGCAATTGTTGCTAAACGCATCAAACCCAGAAATTTCAAAAATGCTCCGTAGCCATGGGGACAGAATACCGTACGGTATCTGCCGCCACAGTGCCCAGTCTCACCAGAGCGGCCCACATTGATTTATCGCCAGGGAAACTGGGAGAACCGCAACTGTAAGGTTGAGTGCAACAAACTCGACAAAGTCTGTCACTTTATCCGTCTCTTATCCAGACCTCCAAGTTACGGCCACCTCGGTCTACCGGGCGGCACCCTATGGGTGAGTTTTAGTGGAAATATTACTACTCTTTAGTCTTTACCAAATTTTGTTAAAATAGTGACTTCATACATGTACTAGTATTCCAGATCTCCGCACCTTCCCCATCAAAATGTACGTGAGTTCGGAGTTACGGACATTTCCAAGTTACATGTATTAGGCAGTGCCCGGTCCCGGGCTACCCGGATAAGAGAGATACGAGTGCACTGTCTGTCAAGGAATAATTTAACCCGGTGGTATCGCATTGCAGTTCGCTACGTAATTCTTCTGAGGTGAGAAGCAATTTCAAAAAATGCGTCGCAGAAAACTGCTACTGTATTAAAGTCTGCAAATTTCCGGCCCCTTCAAATTTCGGCCTCCCAGGGCTAAAACACATTTCGGCTGCAACAAATTTTCGGCCTGTACTGCATGCTGCTGCCTGTATACACTGTCACACTGAACCTTGCGAAACTAAATTTCGACTGTAACGAATTTTCGGCCAAACATGATCAGTTTTTTAGAACACGGAGGCTCCTGGCACTAGCACTGCAGCCAATTCATATCACGCGGATCAGGCCGAAAATAGTCGAAAATAAAATGAGCATGCGCCAAATATTATTTTGTTGATTTACCGTATGCATGTTGAATTTTCACTGTACCCTTGGATGCACAGTGTGCATGCCAGGTGTGTCTCTTAGGGATGAAATAGATGCATGAAACTTCGAAAGTGCTGAGCTCTGCATCCTGGCACCAAGCTAGGTTTGCAACTAAGGTGTTACAGTGTACTTGTGGTCTGAGTTTGCTCGCTGATCAGCTCTGCAGAAAGACAATGCTCTCAAACGCTGAAGAAACGCAACATTTTCGAATGCGACAAGTAATCACAAATTGAAAGTAAATTATTCCCGGACTGTGTAAGCGGACTTGCATCACGCGTGGGTGTGTGGGCCAACGCCAGTTCCCTGTTCGCATGGAACTTACTGTCTGTAGTGCCGCTCGAGGGCGACACGAGCACGGATTTACTGCAAATCGGGACTGCCTATACAATGCAGGTGCCCTGCATGACCGGCCGACAGGATTCGCTCATCCCGCGGCCCCATTTTCAGAACACGATCACAGAACTAGAGGGGTCTAGGTAGTGGGGTGCTATGGCAGTGCTGCCTTTACGGCTACAGAGCTAGTGATGATGTTATTCTGAATCAGTGAATGTCTGAATTTTCTCATTAGTTAGTGTGTCCTTCCAAACAAGGTTCTCATTGTACCTGCAATGTTCATACTGTGTTCCAAGGCCTCTCTGTTGTCAAGTGTACAAGACCCATCCCGTGTAGGCAATACCTGGCACGCGTGGATCGCAGTTTGAAGAGTGTTCGGAGGCTTTTCGAATATTCACCTCTCTAGTGCGACCAGTCACCCACGATTTACGACCCATCGTGAAGAGCACTGCTCAAATGCCTCCGCAGCACAAACCTTCTTTTTACGAATAACCAACACAGGGTTGGATGAGACTACAACGTGGAAGCAAAGCAAATCACCACACGTACAAAAGCAGGGAGTGAAATACGAATCGCACGCACCTCTTTGTTTCATTTCCAGCACTCGCACACGATCTTCCAGAGCCAGCACTCGCCGTCGTGGTGTGGCTGCAGGAACGGCGGCAGCAGCAGCCACGGGAGCAGCAGCATCATCTGAGCCTGGGGAGGCCTCGTGTTCCTCCATTTCTAGAACAGACGGCTCTCAACAAAAGAGATGACTTTATGTGTGTCTTGCAGATCAGAATTCATGACCATTGCAAAATTCACGATCGATCAAATGTTGGAGAGTTTGGAGAATGGTGCCTGCAGAGAGCAGTGTTTTGTGTGCTTATTCGTATGCATGCACTATTTCGCGAGAGCTGAGAGAGGTCGCCGGCGGACAAATCTACAATCTAGGACGTCCAGGAGTGAGAGAGTCGATTGAATGGCCATCGGGTGACCAGTCCGGACGTCCATGAAGAAGCCCTGTGTTTTTGTGTGTTGTCTCAGTTTGTAAAAAGCAAAGATCTCTGAAGTGCTCATGACGTCAGGATCATTTCGGCAAAAGACACTTGTAAATCGCAATTTTTCTTTTTTTGCGTACACACATGTGCAAAATTGGTTGAGTTGCTCTTATCTCACTCAGCCTCAGATCAGTGCAGTATCATGTGTGTGTGTGTATTATTATATTATATTATAGTGCATGCACGACCTCGACACCTTGGTAAACCGGCCTCTTGTACGGGCAGAATTAAGTAACACAATGATACAATAAAAACAAGTACCAGTAGTTACATACATGGACCATACGAGAAAAACGTCGACAACCCATGTGGGACTGCCCTATTCAAAATTTAATAATAATAATAATAATACAAGGCAGAAGAAAATGAAAAAAAAAGAAAGAAAACTGAAGAGAGAAACACTGTGAACAGCAAATGGGCCACAATGATGCATGTACAATCTATTAATTTTACAACTAATCTGCTAGAAAGAGACCGTGATAACACAAGCAGGTACAGAAATAGCAAGAAAGCTACATGTACAATCATGTAAATCAGAAAACAAAATCCGTTGAATAAGTAACCGTCCGATGATCAGACCTGAAACTTGATCGAGCCCTTCAGCAACACAATAGCACTGAAGGCAGCGATATACAGTAGATATTGGTTATAACGTGCCCTTCTGATTTTTCACATTTTATCACTATAACCGGTATATCACTACAGGCGATTTTTAACTGCGCGCGTCATACATACACATTATACACGTGTGGGTACTCGATCGCGCTAATGTAGCGTACTGATACGTGATGGATGCTACTGCACCTTCTCCAGTCTAGAGTGAAGAACTTCTTGGCCCAAAGGCATCATCCAGGAAGCACCAGACCAGAATACCCTATGACAACACACATGTGGCTCCAAGTCGAGACATCAATGCCTCACACTCATGTGTTGCTATCACTATAGACGATAATTTTTCTGCACAAAGAGGTGTTTTGAATGGTGCTTCTGTATCCTTATAGCCGATTTATCGCTATATACGATATATTGGTTATAATGATAATTTGACTGGCTTTTTCTGGTTTTGCTTTTGATATTTTCATTTTGTATCAATATAGCCGGTTTATCACTATATCCGATGACTTTATAACCGATATCCACTGTACATGTACATGTAATGATTCTTCTCAACATCATGCAGGGAACTGAGCACCGTCAAAACCAGTGAATGGGGGCTGATGGTATTATTGTTGTCTTCAAAAGTGTTATCGGCAAGTGACAAGTTAATATTACTATGATAATTATTTTCTGCAAATAGGGGCTTGGCAACTAATAAAAAAAGACTGAGTTCAAACCATGGCAATATGGGCATTCGCAAACCAACAAGTGTTACTTATTGGAGGGTATAACTGTTATCAAGTTCGAGTTATTGACCTGATGATGTCAACTGTGCCAAGGAGGGCCTCCTTTTGCAAACTGATCGATACACTGGCTCCGGCATCCAGTTCCCTCACAAAGTCAGCAGTTGTTGTTGTTGTTGTAGAAGTTTATTTAACGTCGCACCACAAACAGGCGATTTGGCGCCTCCTTTGATACATGTGGACGACAGAAGGAATGAGAGAGGGGGGGGGGGCAGAAGTACGGAGAGAGGAAGGGTAGAAATAAATAAGCAAATCAACCTCAGGGCTACACCAAAGCAAAAACGGAATGGGAACATAGTACTCCAAGTATATACAAAATAGCTTCATACATCAGGAGCGTACATAGGGCGGTTCCCGGGATGCCCGGGAACCAGTAAAAAGAATTCGATGTGGGTACGGAGAATGTTTTGACCCAGGCCCAGTGTGCAGCGCATGCATTCCTAGCCTAGGGCTAGGTGCCTGCAGTCCGCCTGGCGGTCCGAGGAGGGTGACAGGTGTAAAAGTGCTGCTGAGCCTGGGGCATTTTTGTGACACAGCGTAGCTCTACTGAACTGACTAGGTGCAACAAAGTCTCTACATACGAGTTACATCGATTCTTCGATCTCAGAGTCATTTCCTTTGCAGTTTGTTTTGACAAAGTTGGTTACGTTTTTGACGACGCTTTCGCTTTGTGGAAAAAAATGAAGAGTCGACATCCAGAGGGCCAGTGCTCTATTCAGACCTATTTTGAGCAGGAGGCAAATCGTGTAGCCAGCGTGTAGCCAGTGCGATAGATGAGATTGCGGACGCACCTGACTGCAAGTGGAGTCTGCAACGAGCAGCACAGAGGACGGAATCGTCGGCGAAGCTGTAGAGCGACCGTTGTTGGAAGCTGCTGGATCATCCAAGACTTACTTCAGTGACATAGGAGTGTGTTGGAAAGGATATTCTGAAAGTGTACTTCCACAGTGGAATCCTTGATTCCCCCGAAATTTGCCGGACATGGAAAAGATTGCCATCATGGACAATCATTGTGCGCCACTGAAGGCGAAGGATTTCGTTTCCTGTGCGTGTCCAGCCGGATAAACAGCGCCGCTTTCAACTATCCTGGTTGGAGGAGTTTCCCTTGGTAGTCTTTTGACCGGCGTGCCATGGTGGCTTCTGCTTGCCCTGTGTTATGTTTGCTCCAGATGATTCGAAGCTTAGGCAGCTTTACCGCAGTCCTTTCGAGAATATAACCCGACTCAAGACTGCATGAAATCGTCCTGCTGAACAAAACATCCATAAAAATGCCTTGGCAAAGCTCAGTCTTTTGAAATCAAATATGCGTAGCAGTGACATTATCCATCAATTTATGCAGAAACTATGTCGGATGCGTATAAGAGCACTAGCAATTGTGTGGAATGTTGGTTGATCAGTTGGCATGGGAACCACTCCTGGAGGCGAGCGGTGTACGCCCCTGTACATATATTGCAAAACACGTTTACTATTCTTCAGTCCGCTATACCACAGAAACACCATAGCCGAAAAGCATTAAACGGAGCCATGATGCGCTTTGAGCAGGGCACAGAACTGAAGGTGGCTGCCACTGGCTGGGCTCGGAACGGAGATCAGGCGGGAGCTGGTTCCACAGGACTGCGCCGATGAACTGCATGGTCGCTCGACCCGCAGGACCGCCGGGGCCAAAATGGTACTCGAACGAGGTGATGTGCTGCTCCCCGAGTGCGGTCACCAGTAACTCTCACGAAGAAGCTGGTGAAGAGGGAGCTAGCTCGGGAGAACAGACAACGACGGACAAAGATGAGGAGTTTAATGACAACATGTCCTCCAGGGTGGTGAGGCGGAGCTGTTCAAAGATCGGGCTCGTGCGCGACCACGGTGGCAGACCGAAGAAGCCGCAGATAGCGCACTTCGTTAGACGTGTGAGGGGCTCCATGTTGCCAATTTGAAGTGACGGATAAAAGGCGTTGGAAGCGTACGACAACCTACCCTGGATCATCGACCTGTAAAACAGGATTTTTGATGCCAGGGTGAGGCTTCGGCGGCTCCGCCACAGCGCACCTACTGACTTCCGCACCTGCTGGATTGTGTGATTGACGTGAGGCTCCCAGGAGAGCTGCCCATCTACCACTACGCCCAGGTACCGCGCTTGTTCCACAACTGCAAGGGCTGCATTCCCAGCAGTCGAGGGGGTTAATCCATCTCAGTAATACCCCCACAATCACTGGCACGATCTTGGCCCGAACCTGCCACATCTCAGTGTTCCACCTCACGCTTCAGGCCTTGATATTTCTGTATCGAGTTTTCCACAGATTTTCGGCGGATGTTCCTACCCAGAGGGACACTTACGTCCACAAGCAACGCTTCATCTTTGCCCTTGATAACAATGTCGGGTCTGTTTGCCGCAGTCCAACGGGCGCTGCTGTTGGAATTGGCACTTCCCAGTAGACTGACACATCCGTTTCAGCACTGTACACGACGTTAGTGAGTTGGTGACTTGTGTACTTATTTGAAATGTCCCATGCACCATACTTCCTGCACAATGTCCAGTGGAGATATTTTGCTAGCCTGTTGTGGCGATTGACATAGTGACTTCCCGCACAAGCTGTGCACGCTCCAATAAGGTGGAACACCGTTTCCTTGTCCTTTCCACACATCCTGCAGCTCGTTTTCGTTGACACACCCGTTCCTCGATTAAATATCTCTTGTGAGTTCTGTGTTGCGATAGCCTGGTCCTGTATGGCCATGACAATACTCTCTGTCGCTGGACGCAAGGCAGAAGACCGCAACCACGCAAAGGAGAGCCCTCGATCGAGCTCAGCATCCTGCAGCATCAGCCAAAATTGGCCATGCAGAGGCTTCTTTCTGATTATCTCCTCCCTATGCCGCTGGTATCCCTGGCGTATTTGCTCCCTTGTGGCTGACTCCGCCATACCAATCTTTGCCAAAAATGTCGCAGCATCACCGGAGACAGAGTATTTTGCTTTTCAGTTATGATGGTACTGTTTCAGGAGAGCAATGGCAATGTGGTCTTGGTGGCCCTCGATGTATTTATTGATCTGGATGATGGATCGTTCATGTACTGAGATCTACCACACTCTGGAATCCACGGCCGCCTTCGGCGCCCATCAAATGCACCCTCTCTCTGCCAGCCCGAGGGTGATGCCATCCCTTCTTGGTGAGCTTCTTCCTGAGCAAGACATCCAGCTGCTCCAATTCTACGGGTCGCCAGTTGACGATGCCAAAGCTGTAGGTGAGCAGTGGCACCGCGTACGTGTTTACTGCCTTTGCTAAATATCCAGCCGTTAATCCAGACTTGAAGATCGCATCTAATCGCTTTCCATAATCCTCGCGAAGCCGTTATCTCACCGGCCATGCGGCAGTGCAGCCGATTCAATGAAGCTGAGGTATTTGTACAGTCATGTTCTTCCAAGGTGGGTAAAGCCATGCCCAACAGTGTTTCGAGAACTTTCGACAGGCTCCGCATCACTTGACTCAAGCACACCCCGGTGTACATGAAGCGTGGCGCACTTCGAAACACCAAACTCCAGGCCAATGGCCGAAGCTGTGATCTGGGCGACGTTGAT